GGGGGGGGGCGGCGAAACTGATGTTTCCATTAACTGCAGAGAGGCCTTGCACTCAGAGAACGTAACAGGCTTGCACTGAGTATGAGGATGATTGTAATACCTCTAATGTTTGCTTTGTGTGTTTGGATTGCAAGCTCTTTGGCCCAAGGACTATGTCTCATCATGTATTTACACAGATCCCAGCACAGCGGGTCACTGGTCTCAGTAGGGGCCTCCAATCTCAAGTGATAATAATGAACTGGCTTTCTTCTAAGTGTTATTTACCCAAACAATACTGTGTTCCATTGTCCAGCATTGGTTTTATTAATTTTTTTTTTCAGTTCAAATGAAATAAAAACATTGTGCACCCAAACACTGAGGAACAATATGAGTGCTCATCTCCTGCTGGGAAGTAAAAATTCAAGAGTTTCAAATACCAGTGCTTCCTGCCCCCTTTAGTCATTTAGAGGACTTGTGTCTGATGATAAAATGCTTTAAATCCATTTTAAACCTTGTCCAGGCTGGCATTCCTTGTCTGGATCTTAGCAACACAACAAAGCTTGCTTTGAAAGTCTCTTAGAGAGGCAACCCCCAGTTCATGTAGTTGATACTTATGTGAAGAAGCCAAATTTATTTGTATAACGGCTGCTTGAATGCACATTTGCAGAATCTATCCCAGCATCTTTTAAAACATGTGATTTAACTTTAAAGCTGAAGAAGTCTTTGGGAAGAGTGAAATCCAACCTGTTCTTTTGAACTAAAAGATACATTTTATTTAAGGAAAAAAACCCAGAAGACAAGCCAGAATCTCTCCACTAAACTCATTTTATTGGAAGCAAAGATTTTTTTTCTATGCACTTGTATGTGAAAGGTCTGTATATTTTCTTCTCTTCTGCTGAACAGCGTTAGTAGAAGTTGATTGCATATGTAACTATGTGCAAGATCTCTCCATCTTTAGTATGGTGAGATGCTAGGAAAGGCGTTTTGGGTCTTATCTGATCGTTTTGCAAAGCACACAAACAGAGCTACTCTCAACTCAAACTACATGACGAAAAGTGAATGCTTCTACTTTAAAAATGTAGATCAGCAATGATGTCTTCAGCATGAAACCGCCCGATGTAGCCAAGGCATAATTTTATTATCCCAGATGAAAGACAAATATGACCTCATTGTGTTTTGTATGAAAAACATTATTTTGAGTCTGTCTGGTTCCTGCAAGCTTGCTGAGCTGTGTTATTCAGTAATGTTTGGCATATGGTAACTTCTTCTGAGGCTGGTGTGCAGGAAGAAAGAAAATAAGGCCAGGTTGGAGCTGCCATCTATTTCCACGGTTTTATTCTTGCCCTTTGAGTTCTTTGTCAGACAGTTGCAGTCTGCTACAGTACAACTCCACTTGTTTTGTGTAAGTGCATCCCAGCTACAGTGTCAGTTCCCTTCCAGAGTGCTAAAAGACGTAGGTTGTGTTTAAAGGCTAGCAAGGTCTGGCCTTAGCTGCTGGGACACTAGCTTTTCCTTCTTTGATCTATTATAAGAGGTGGTATTCTTTAAACCAGTTATCTTAATGAGAGCAAACTTGGCAGCACTGACAACAGAGCATCTTCTTAGGCAGATCTGCACAAATGTGTGAGCAGCCCCACACACATCCTTCGCTATGGGGGTTGCCTGGGCATAAACCACCCCAGGCCAGGAGCGTTGTCACTGCAAGAGTCTGGTGCAGGTTTATACGCCCTGCTACAAAGGTGCATTAATTCCTTGCAGGAACTGGGCCGCAGGGGTCATGGCTGATGGCCCACCAGCTCGGCGCAGCCATGGGCCCTGCTACTCTCTGCAGGGCTGGCATGTGCCAGGCAGCTCTGTGCCCGGCCCTGAGCCCTCGGAGGGGCTGCTGAGGGTCAAGCATCTCTTCGTCTTCGCAGCCAGCTCTCTGCTAGAGTTGTGGGAACTGGAGTTTTCAGCAAGGGTGGAACATTAATATTGCCATGTTCGCTTCCATTTTGCGGTGAAAACAGAAAATAGAAGTGAAACGATGAAGCTCACAGATTTAGCGGAAAAGTAATTTTTAAATTACAGTTTCATTATTCTGATAATTCCATAAGTCACTTTTTTTTCAAGGCTGATGTTTCATTTTGGTATTTTAGAATGGAATTGTTGTGTTTGCCTCCTCAGTTTGGGAATCCTTGAAGTTTTTTCTATTTTTTTTCATATTCTTTCTTCTTGGAAACAATTGTAATGAAGTAGGAAAACTCAGTTTTCATCTACTTTTAGTGTTTTCCAAGCAGAAAATAGAAGACCAAAATTACAAGATAATGATTTGAAAAGCAAACTCCCCTACAAACTTTCACTGTTTCTCCATTGTTCTGTTTCCTTGTTTACCGTAAAAAAAGTGAAAAATGTGTTTCCCTACTTTTTCCTACACTTTCTTGAGCCTCAGTGAAAAGGAAGGATAAAGAAAGAAAAACAAGTGCACAAATGGTTTCCAAAAATAATGACATTAAATACAAAGTGTAAGATCCATTTTTTTAATTCAGCAATGTTTAGTTTTCCATAATACTTTTGGAAATGCCCATATTTTTAAAAGCATCTGTTCTTTTGATTTACCTGTTACTTCCAGTTGAAATTTTTTAAGTAGCTCTACTTGAGTCAGTTGAGTGAAGAGCCTCTAGAAGAAGGGGGGGGAAAAAAGTATATGCACTTAATGAGCAACAAAGTTAGTGATCTGTAGCAATTACCCAAGTGAGTAATTTTGTTTCATTAATGCACCCTAAAGCACCAAGCTGTTTTGTCAATGGGCACTGCAGGGCCATTGCAATGCTCAAAGAGACAGTTATGTTACCAACCGCGGTGTAAGGGATAGGTTTACCAACAAGGAGGGAGAGAGAAAGTAGCTTAGCATAAGAAGAAAATTAAAGACCATCTATTATTGTCACGGAAGCCAATGGCAATACTTGTAAAGACTCTAGCAGAGCAGGGTCACACATCAGTTTTTTCTGGCTTTTCCAACTCCCAGTTTCTTGGTTAGTGTGGTTTTTTTAAGAGGGCATCTTGATGCACGTAGCATCACAGTTTGAAAGGGGAAGGAGGGCATGTATCTGGCTTACTTGAATCCTCGCAGGAAAGTAGAAAAGCGGATAGCAGAAACAAAGGCAAAGCTGTATTATAACTTCTAGGCATCTTTGGATCACTCGATATGGGACATGCACAGCATATGATATATTAAGGTGAAGTATTGAATATCCATAAAGGAGTACTAGCAAATGGTGTCAATTTTCAAACACTTTGCTTTGTCAGCTTCACAAATTTAAAATCAATCATCAAAAAGTCTCTGTATAGATCAGCTGAAGAGACATAAAAGCTTATGGTTATCTCCCTGACAAAAAAGTTGAAATTAAAGATGAGTTTATAAAGACTCAGAGTGGCAGGATTCTGCAGTGCTAAAAACTGGGGTCATCCAGCCTCTCAGTTTAGAAATAAATGCTGAGGAAAAACAATGACACCCGGTGCACTGCTAATAAATACATCTTGGAGGACAGTTGAACATGCAGAAAAATAGATTTCACAGAGAGGCTTATTTTCAGCACGAATGCCATTTTCTCACTGCATTATCATAAACATGAGAGAAAAAACAGCAATAAATAAAAAATTCTTGGGCAGTCCCTGGAGACTTGTCAAAAATATGTAGTTTTTGTATGCTGCAGTGTAAAAGTATTCATTAAAATTAATTTTTAAAATGCCCTGTCCAATATTAGTTGCCTGATGTCCTTCCTTTGATCATAAATTATAAATGAACCAGCAAAAAATGAAGAAACCATGATTCCATTAATGAATTATTTAAGTGTGATTGTTAGTTTTTGCAATCATTGGGCTAATAAGCTCAGGCTTGTGACACTGAAGTGTTTCTCATTTGAGGGTGGTGATGATGGTAATGTTATTAACACCATGATCAGTGTGTCCTGTGAAGCATAAACCCAACCAGCTCCTTTGGTGGCTACACGGTGGCATGGCCACTGGAGCTTTTATTGGGTCTGTACTGCAGGAGAGGGGGTTCACACTGAGGAAAGTCGGTGCAAACAGGGTTCGCTGGGTGACTGCCCCCCAAGGCAACACTTTAGAAAAGACAAGGAGCATACTGACACGAGAGGATCTTCTCCCTGCAGCAGCCTGCCGGTGCCGACTCCACACGCAACTGGCTTGGCCCATTCCAGCGGCGGCTCCGGGAGCTCCAGCGAGTCCGAGAGCAGCTCTGAGTCCGACTCTGACAGCGAGAGCAGCTCCAGTGACAGTGAGTGCAACGAGGAGTCGCGCAGTGCCACGCCGGAGGTAAAACCACACTCTCAGCTCCTCCTCAGTGGGGGCTTGGAGGTGGAAGTGCGGAAGGGAGTGAAATCCTGCTCCCTGTTAGGAAAATGTTGGAGTTCTGCGTTGTTTGATGCTGTTGACTTTTTTTCTTCCTTTACAGTTTTACATGTATGACCCACATACTCATTCTAGCTTTTGGAAGAATCCTTCTGGCCTACATTTGAATTGCTTTAAAGAAATATTTAGATTTTTGCCAGTAGCTAGAGAAGATTTTATTGACACAGTATTCAGCTGGGACGAAGGAAAAGCAACATGACAAAACTATGTCTTCAGGGGCCAGCTAAACTTTTCAGTTGTATTAAATTTCTCCAGGGCCACATTGTAAACCAGATAAGGAAGCCTAATTAACCATAAATACTCCATAAATACTCCCATAAAACTAGCAGTCACCACTAGTTGACTGAAATAAAAGGGTACGTTAAAAATGTTCTCATTTAAAGGGAAAAGCATTGCTTCTGTCTGAGATTTGTTCCTTGTTGTTCTTCAAACTGCAGCCTGAACCTCCTTCAACCAACAAATGGCAGCTGGATAAATGGCTAAATAAAGTGAACCCCCACAACAAGACCATCATCAACAATCAAAATGAGCCTCACAGCGAGACCAGCTCCCAGGCCCAGAGCAACCAGCAGGCCGAAGGGCCAAACAAAGGGAAGCTCAATAGCAGCCTGCCCCCGACTGATTCCAAAGACCGGGCGATCCTCAGTCCCATCCGAGAGAAAGCCAAACCGCGGGTTGCCCAGAAAACCCCAGAGGCAAAAAGCTCCAAGCAGAAGTCACCAGCTCATAATGAGCCAACGTCACAAAGGACTACTGGGAAAAAGCAACCCAAAAAGGTAGAAAGGACTTCCAGTGTAGAAGAGTATAACTGGCCCAAACCAAATAATACCAGCAACACTCCCAAAGAAAAAGACTCACAGGAACTCCCCGAGCAGCCAAAGGTTCGAACTAAAGCAGCAGTTGGGAAGACAGCTCCAAGGAAAGAACCACGAACTAGCACAGGTCTCACTTCAGAGAAGAAAAAGTACAGAGGCCCCAGCAAAATTGTCCCAAAGTCCCGGGAATTCATTGAAACAGATTCATCTACTTCCGACTCAAATACAGACCAGGAGGAGAGCTTGCAGGCTAAGGTATTGCCAGCTTGCACTGGGTCTGGCAATGGAGTCAAAGTGAAGGACTCTGGCAGTAACATCCTCAGCGTAAGTAGTTTAACTAGCAATGGCAGCAACACATCCATTGACCAGACCAGCAATGACTTGGAGGAGCAGCTCTTTTCTCCTATCCCAATCGTACAAAATGAACTTCTGTCCCCACTGAGAGAATACGAAGAACTCAAATCTCTGTGGGTGAAAATAGACCTTAGTTTACTCTCTAGGATACCTGGACAAGAGCCTTTTGAGACCACGTCTGTGAAAAGTGAACCAAGAGAGGCAAATGTGAAACACAGGCGACCATCTCGAGAGTCCCCTACCCCAGCAGCTGAAAAACCACCCACAAAATCCAAAAGGAAACACAAGGTAAGTAGTTTTCATCATTCGGAGGAAAACACTGAATTTCTATGCATCCTCGAGGTCAGGACCGCAGTCGGTGATACCTCACTGCACCTGCAGCAGGGCTGTAAGGAGGCATCATAATACTAAGGCTTTATTGTTTTTACAAAGGACATACACTTACAAGTGCATTACAAATTAACATCAGAAACTAGTAAAAAACAAACTCCAGCTGACAAAATCAATGAACAGTGTATTTTTCTGAGATTGGTCTTACAAGCTTTTTCGCTGTATTTGCTCGCTTACCCATTAATTTCCAGTGTTTGGTAATCTGCAGAAAGATTCCCAATGATGAGTTCATATTACTACAGGTTCAGCCATACTCAGCAAGTGTGACTTCTATTTGGAAGGCAGCATTTTACTGTCTGCAGAATTAAGGCATTTTCACCACTGGCTTAAACAGGCATAGCTTCGTTAAAGTCAATGGAATGGTGCTTGCTTATGCTCACGGTGAATTTAGTCTTTATATTGTTTTGTTGTATAAACGAGTGTGATTCATAGAAATATCATTTGCTTAACTAGCTGCTTTCTCTACACAGCTACCTGAAAAAGCAAATATATTTTGACTTAAGGCGTTGTGTTTTATCATGTGTTTTATGTTATTTATGCCCAAGGGTATCCTATCTTGTGGGATATGACAGTGCACTTCAAACTAAATGTGTTTTCAGAAAAGAAACTGAAGTTTTATATCATAAATGAATTTTTGTAGTCACTTCTTCCAGCTGAAATGGTTGTGCTCTGGTCTGTCTGTGAGAAGTCATTATAGTGGGGTTTTTTGTTTTTTTTTTTTAATACCCCAAATTTTATAAATCATTGTGAATGTGACTTCAGCTGTCTGTTCTAGTGAACTTTTTGAAAATCCTGAGTTTGAGCAGTCCAGTGGCGTGAGAGAGTTAATACAAGACAAAGACAGACAATGCCAGGCAGACACAGGGTCTGCACCCCTGCCTACATGAGTCACTGCACTGGCTCCTTCCCTGTTGAATTAAGTGGAAATAATCACATGAGTAAACTCAGCAGGTTTTTATTCAATTTATATTCTAGCTGTACACTAAAGGCAGAGACGTAAGAAGGAAAGAAAAAAGAAGAAAGAGGAAAGGGATGTATAAATGTCCATGCTTATGTGTATATATAAGTACAACAGGCTGTAAAAACCTTCTTGCTAGGTTACTTAGTGGAGTATCAGTATGACGGTGAAGGAATCTTGGCTAAAACACAAGTATAGTATTGGCAACTAAACTGAGGGCTCCCAGGAAAAAAAAAAAGGGGGGGGCTTATATGAATGTTGGAACCTCATAATTTTGTTAGCTGGAACTTTGAATCAGAAAGTAACAAAATCAGGAATCTTGCTCTGGGACTGTACAAACATAAGCTATACTCTGAAACAGCCCATTCAATTGCTGTATGATTGTTCACTGCTCCCCAAGGGGAAACAAACCAATTAGGATGACCTGAGGGTATATCAACAGTTAAAAAGGGGTAGGGAGAGCTTGATTTGTGTTTCTAAATCATGCTATTAGATTTATTTTAGCCATCTACTAGTTGGCTTGAAGGCTGATATGAAGGTTCCAGTGACAGAGCAGTAATCAGCTTTGCTCGTATCGTCCCCGTTCAGGCACAGAAGTCATGCATCAGGGAATCTTTCAAAGCAAGTTTAAACTAGCTATCGTTGTTAATGACTACCCCAGCTCAGTCCTGTAGTCTTTTAGTCCTGTGAGAAATACTTACTCAGGGAAGTTTTCCCATCAGCTTCCATTAAGTCAATGAGTAAAAGCTATTTACTTGAGTAAGATTTGGTGCTATCAAGTCATTCCATCTGAATTATTAATTAAATTCCAGTGCACTACAGAAGATAACTATAGCACATGAGGCATTTTGCTTCCTAATTATCTGGCTATGTCACTTGTTATATAACTTCATGTCATGTGTTTGGAGCACGTTTAGCCCTGATTTCAGGTGACTTTCACTTCTCTTAGCCCAGTATTTTAACTGCTGCTACTGTAAAGGAAATACACTGAGATTCCTGAGCTCCTCTTAATGGCAAGAGAAACTGTGCATAAATGCTGGATCTTTCAAGCTCTACCTTTTTTGTCAAAGCAGACGGAAAGCCTGGATACCTTCGTTGAAAGCAAGAAGCAGCGCCTGGAGGACCCTTCAGCTTCATGCCTGCTCCCACCTTGTATCTCTCCGATACCAAATCACAGATTAACCAGCACTAAAGAGTAAGTTCTTTTTTTTCACATAACATTCATGAGGGGTTTCACGGTACTGTTCTACAAACGTCTGCTGCAGAGCCAGATGGGCTTTACAGCCCATAAGCATAAGTGACCCGGCATTGCTATTCCCATCCATCAGGAAGAGGATCCACATGGTTTTGGATGAGAATCATTGATCCTTCTGATGGACTACGGGAATTCAGAGTGCCACCACAATTCTGGTGTACTCTTCTACCCCCATACTGCATCCTTTCAATGTTCTTTCTTGCCCCCATCATCCTTAACCTCTATGGCCAGAGAATCGCACTAAAAGTGGGCTTTATTTGATTGCCTGAAATTTATTTTTTAAAATTGTTTTTGTAAGAGACAGTTCTCAGTTTTATTGAACAAAATAGTGACTTTGCTGTTCACTTCAGCGGCTCTTATTCTTTAACTGTGTATACAGCAATGCCAGGGGTGACCGTCCTAAATGTTTCAGACATACGTGCTTTGTATTTCAGCAGACATATAATCAAATAGTTTGTGCCTTTCAGAGTGTCTTTGAGACATGGCTATAATGCTTGAGCAAACAGGCGCCACGTAAATAATGATTCTGATTAGTATAATCACAAGATTAACATTCTATAAATAACCAAAGAGTCCAGTTCCCTTCTGTCATCAATTTTGTGCTTTTACAATTTTGAGATGAGGCACTCCTTTCTGCTTTGCACTAGGACAAGCAAAGAATGAGACCCACAATGTGCTTCTAAAAACAATTTGATTGTAGTAGTATTTCAATTTAGATAAAGTTCAAAAATCATTTATGAAATAGCACACAAATTTTAAAATCCATAAAGAAGGTTGAGCATCATTTTATTTATACTGGTGTAATTATGGAGTAACTTCAGTCCTTGAACTAACCCCTCATTCCACCACTGAGAAAATCAGAATTGGAGTCTGGAAAAGGCAGATGAGTTGAAAGTTACAATGTGATCTGTAACATGTTGCACATTTGATAACATCATGATGGGTGTTGCTTGATTGTCATTGCTAGAAATACAATAAGCAGAGATATATTGCAGAGAGAACCAAGGATTATCCATCGCCAACACCTCCGCAATCCATTAAAAAATCTTTCTATTCTTGTTGCCAGCAAGCCCTAAGGATCCACCCACAACCTGATGCTTCTTAATTTGAGTTTGTTTTCCAGGTCATTAATTTGATTCCTCGGAGCTTTCAAGCCTTTGGTATTCTCTGTTAAAATATAATTGTGTCCATCAATAGTTATTTCCATATGCTAGCTTTTCCTCTCGTCTGCCTCAAGTTTTGAAACTTCTTTTCCACTGCAGTGACTGAGACCTGGATCACACTGCATTTGTTATTAGTGCCTTCTGAGTTCACTTGAAACAAATGCAATATTGTTTGCTAATTCAGGTCTTCAACTCCCAGAGACGTGCAACTGAATATAGATCAATGTATTTCCCAAGAGATTAGGGAGCTGGCTGAACTGTGTGACGACAAATTTCTGGAGAGCCCCAGACTGTCTTTGAGAAGTCAGGAGTGGTTCTCTTCTCCAGAGGGTTAAGTAGAGTTTTAAGGGGAAGTAGAAGAAAGGGGAAGCTGAAAGTATGCTGTTCAAGGGCATGGGGGAAAATAACACTTTGGTGGTAAAATGTTGAAAGACAGGCTTTGCCATTTGCTTCTTTATTCCCAAAGGTCCTACATTTTCTTTCGGAACTCCTACGTTTCTATATAAGGTCTTGGAGAAATGAGGGTGATTCAGCTACAGGTGTGATGATGATCATCATCCATTAAGAAGGTGTTCCATCCCATGGTGGATGTTCTCACTCTGGAGAAACCTCAGGTCTCTTCCGTCAGAACTTGATCCCTGTGCCAACAAGCCAAATTCCCCAAGGCAGACTTCAGAGACTTTCACTGGGCTTTTTTATAGATACAAGAGTGTTTTGACAGAAAGACCATGATCTCTGGGCCAAAATTTGGAGGCATTCAGGACTCCAAATTCAGGACTTCAGGAGGAATCAGTGAAAGATAGGCCACACCTGTGCTTTTGCAGCTCCCACTGGCTGCCTGTCTATGGTTTAGACATTTGAATACATTTCTCTTGTAATCTTTCCCTAAATATATGGGCTTAATAAAGCAAGCAAAGATGCACAATTAATTTTTAAAGTGTTACATGTCTAATATGGGCAATTATATGCATAATTTCCACAAATTTCTATGACTACATGAACAATTTGAGTGTAGAAACTTCAAATGGTCAGTTGTGAACTTAAAAGCCATTCGCAAAACTGAAGAGCCAGTTTGTATTATGTAGTCATTGCATAAGCAACTAGTTACCTCTCTGTTCCTTCCCTCACACACTGTGGGGCCGATGCCTTTTCCTAAATCTGACATGACACTTAAAATATAATTATTCAAACAGTTGCCACTGTATTTTCCTTATTTCTGATATTTCACAGCAAATGAAGGAATAGATGATACTGTGTTTTGTCCAAGTAATTCATACTAGTACCTTGAAACACTGCTGTGAGGCTGGATTTTTGTCAGATCAGCTGCCCACTTTACAGCAGAGGATTATTTATGTATTTACTTGCTTGCCAGAGAAATTTTAATTTAAACATTAATTGTATGTGCTGCTGAATACCATTCATATCTGAATACCTGATTGATAGACACAGTCCAGACAGAGCACTATTTGCCAACATTTGGCAGTCTGTAACTACACAGAGAGTTATTTGCTGATGCAAACTGTGAGTCTGAATTTCAAACTAGACTCATACCAATGAAACATGCCTGCCGTCTAACAGGCACGCTGGAAGACTGTCTGAGGCAAGCATTTCAGCCTGTTTTTCAAGATTTCCTGTTCCTTTTTGTTTGACCTTTACTTAAAGATGCACCTGTACTTGGCAACATATATTAGCTGATCCCTTGGGTAGTCACAACAGCGTTCATTGGGGTTTGTTCACAACAGAGGCAGCCTTCTACATCTACGACAATGACTTCAACTTCATTCAGTTGCTGCCATATGGTCCAAGCTAATGCAGGCGTGACCTTTCCCTGCTAACCCCCTGCAGAAAATCAGATACACCGTCAATGTGCGGCATTTCATTGTGGACAGGGAGAGTAGAGGCAAAGGAAAGCCAAGTGATTGGTATAGACAATGGCTTTGTCTCACTAATAGTCCAGAGATACCACTGCATACCACAAGTGGTGGATAAAGAAAGGGCAAAGAAAGGCAGCTTGAAATGTGAGAGTAGATGGAAATTCTCTCTCCTTCACGCACTGACCTCTTGTTGCCTGCTTGCTTGCTTTCTGCCCTAAAAGAAACCAGGCTGGAAAAAAAACAGATGGGGAGCCTACTCGTTCCTTGATAATTGGCCTTTTCAGGCACAAAGATTAAACCCTGAAGCCACAAGACCATCAGTTCTGCTTGTATTTTTTCCTTGCACTTTTATTGTGTTTCTCCCTAGATTTTAAATATAGTTTAACTAACAATCATGTCAGCAAATTAAACCATTGAGTCTTGGTAATTATTGCAATAAATTCATTCAAAATTAGCGATTACTGCAATCAAAGACCAGTTTCTTAGCCCATTAACAGCCCAAAGCAAAGTGACAATCTGGTTAACTGCTGGTAACAACCTATTTCATGGAGGTTATTGTTAACATAAATGCTTTGGCGTAAATCTGAGGGAGGTAACATTGCTAAATAAATTATCAGCTTAATTCCTGCGAAAACTCATATGATTAAGTGGGCAACAGGGAAAAAAAAAACAAACCAGACAGAATTATAACCATAAAATATTGTTTGGGGTTTTTTTAATTTGAGTTATGTAGAAAAAAAATATCCTCAAATGCATTTTTCTTTGTGGTTAAGTCTTCCCACCCACAGAATGACTTGTGTGCCAGAGCTGAGTAGCTGCACCTATATCTTGGTTTGCCCCATCTTATATTTGAGCCCAAAGATTAAGTGAACTGGTGAAGTAGTGAAGTTTTAACAGTGGTACCTTCTTAATTTTTTCTTGTACTACTCTCTTAATCCCTCCACCTTTGTGTAGCAGCTGAGGAAGGTTGCTTCAATTGCTTTATGTGTGCCTTAAATTTCCCCATGCAGTGGTAGACTCCATGCAAGAAAGAGTCTTGCATTAGCCCTGGAAACAGCCACGGATGCGCTGAGGAACCTCAGTAGTGGTGCAGGGTCAGATCCTAAAGGGGACTTGGCCAATGGCTCATATCCAGTTTTTCTTCAGACGATTTTGAGATAGATCTGCCATACTTGGTTGCTCTTCCCTTTGCAAAGCCGTACCGGGGAGAAAGAAGGCTCCACTCACCTCCATGCACAGGGGTGCAGAGAACCACTTCGGCTTGTGCTCCCACCCGTATATGCATGTTCAGGGTTCCCTGCGTAGGATACTCGTTTGGGAGGCAGAGGGTTTGGATTCTGCTCCTGGGTATTTCATTAACTGTGTCTCCTTTGCCTCTGTACAGTCCAGTAACGTGTGCATGTTTTCTTGGGGTAGTGCTTACCCTCCTTTGGAAAACTTTCCTCTGGAAAAAGTTCAGAGTATTGTTGTGCTATAGGTATGGTAACTTGGCTGAGTTCCAAAATGCTCTTTGGGGGTAAGAAAGCTAGCAGATGGGGCTTTGAGTGAGAACTTTTTGGAGGACATGTTGCCAGGACCACATGTGCATAAAATCAGTCTTCTCAGAGAACTAACTGCCAGTCTCTTCCAACCTGTTTGCTTTCCTTTGATCTTCTTCAGGCCCGTGTGTTTTCTGAGCAGACAGCATTCCATACCAGTCCTACTGTAAGGCAATATGAATGCTGTGCTCGTTTTATTTCTTCAGTCTATAGATCTTTAATATCAGAGAGTTTCAAGTAAGATATTTTTAACTCTGCTTCAGTCGAATTAAAATGGTTTTGAGTAGAAGAGCTATAAAACCTGAAACATGGGGAGTTTCTTTGATTTCACTCTGTGATTTCATAGATAGGGTAAAATATTTTTGTATCACCAAAGGTCCAAAGCAGGGGAATGACCAAAGCAGGTGTAGGTATAGATACTGTTGGTGAAACTGCAAAAGAGGCCAGACTGGAATGAGAGTGAGCTTCAGAATGAGGAGTAAAGAGACTTGGGTTGCCTTCTCCTCTTTCCCTGGTTACTTTAAGGCAAAGTAGATCTATAATTTCTGACACTGAATGAAAGTGACTGGGAACAAAACATAAATTCTTGTTGACTTAATTTGTTATTGAAATTTTAGTCAATAGTCATGAAAAGTAAATGATCGTGTAGTGCAATATTAGATGTCTAACAAAAGATTAAAATTCAGGTTATCTTCATTGGCTGAGCTAGGGCAGTACCTAAAATAAAAATCTATGAGTAGATTAACATGTTAAACACTCAATGTTGGGTTTTGTTTTTTGTTTTTTTGATGGATTTGAAGGGAGAAAGGTCTAGCAGGTTTTTTTGTTTTTACTGTGTATCACAGCTGCCATTTCTAGCCAGCTAACAATTTCTGTACATAAAACAGACAATAGATTATCATATTACTTGAGCTTTCATGTCAAAACCACATTCATTTTCTGAATCACGTTCAATTCATCAGCCAATATTTGCTCAAGGGCTTTTGCCAGCTACAATGTATCATTTTAATACAGTGTTGAACATTGGTTTTATTCTAGAGGTCAAATAATTATTCACTTGTTATTGCTATGGTTATCATTTTGTAGTTGTTATAAATTTTTTTTTGTTCATATGCCATGTGTTATTATGTTTTTTTGCAAAGGTTGCTTATGTGGGCCCTAATCCACCTCTTAAAAAGATGCTTAATGTTAAACACATAAATAGCCATACTTGATGTCAAAGGAACTAACCCCATGCATAAAACTTTCCAGCACTTTGCTGAGTCAGAACCTCTATGACCTCTCAAATGAAGACTGACTCAAATTAGCATTTAAATTGGGTGCAATTTGTACTAATGCACTGGAAGTTGTCCTCCAAAGCAGGAGGTTTCTGCAGCCATTGAAAAGGCAGAGGTAGCTCTTCTATTTTCACTGCCTGTCCCCTTTTGACTTAGCTCCTAGGACATGAGGACTGCAAGACATATTTGAGGGTAGAGCTGACTTCTCAGTAAAAATCTAGAGCTTTGTGCTATGGAGGCTTAACCAAGGTTCTTGAAATGCAACTGGTTCTTATCTGTGTCCCAGGAGCAGCGGTAGCTCAGTGAAGAAGGTGGCAAAGAAGAGAGAAGAGAAGCTGTTCCCTCCTCCGTTATCCCCCCTCTTGGACGAGCCTGTGCACCGGCGGCACAGCAGTGACAACAGCTCCTTCAGCCAAGAGACCAACATCACAAACACCTCTCAGACCAGCAGCTCTTCCTCCTCTGTTTCTAAACACAGAAAGAACGAAAATAAATCCTCTTCTAACCCCAAAGGAATCTGTGTAAGTAACCAACCTCAGCTGCTGGAAGTGAACAAGATAAAATAAAATTACCTTAGCTTTGTTCTGTTTGATTTTTCATGCCCCACCCCCGACCCCGAGTATCTATTTTTAAATGCTTATGTAGCCCCACTCAAGAGCAGCGAGGAGTGGATCTTTGCAGAGCTGGGCATAAGCAGGTCTGGCAAGTTCCATTTTTAGGTCAGCATTAGGCATCTACTTGGCGTTGTGTATCAGTGTATCATTCCCTGAAATACCCACTCCCGGAGCCTCAGAGGAGAGCCTTTGCAGCCACCAACTAGCTGCAATTAGTCCCTTAACTCTGTAGCTACAATACACACATTTTGCAAATAAAACGTCAAGAACTTTGGCATCCATCACCTGAATAATTACCCCAAATTCTCAGCCAGAATTAAGCACTGTAGTTATACTGAATATCGTGACCTAAACTAAAGAGACAATAAGAATCTAACAAAAAGCTACCTGTCCATAGCACACTCATCATGGGAATATCGTCTCTCAGGTTTGCAGGCTCCCAGCTTCTAGCAGTAAGGTTTATTTACACCTAATCTCCATGACTTAAATATATAAGCTTGTAGGTACTGTGTAAATGGGGGGCAGGGGCGTGTCCCCAAAAAAGGCATTATTCTGTTATGGCCATCTCCCCATCAAAGGTTTTCACGTAGACAATTCTTTATTGCTCGCTTGTCACCATATCCAGATGGGCGTTTCTACTGCAAATACATGGAAAAGAGCCAAAGCTAGAAGCTGCATAGCAAATTCGCTAAAAAAAAAAAAGTAAAATTTCACATCAGTTCGTCATCCTCTTTTAGAGAAAACAGGGAAACGTCAGGGTTTTGGCCCATTTTAGAGAATAGTCCTCCCTCTAGAGTTTCAAACATATCACTTAGTATCAAACTGTGTCTTAGTATCACTGTCAAAATTAAAAGACAAGAAGAAGGTTCCGCCACAGAAAAGGACATGCATAGCTCTATTTTTCACAGTTTGCTGCTTTGTGAGAGGTTGTTACCCTGCACTGTAATAGTAAAACTCACAAGTTGCATTGGATCGTAGGTGACAAATCACTTCACCTTATTCATTCATCCCTGTTGCTTTCTGATATCATTGTGTCACTTCAAGCTGAGAGAGTAATACACACGCCTTCAACTGAAATCAATGCCAAAATGAACTGCATATGTCAGCAAATAAATAATGCCATGTAAACAGCAGGGCCACTTCCTCTCACTCCCAGCGTCTCCAGTCAGATTTATCCTTGGTTTATCTATTATCCTGATACATTAAATATTTGTCTTCTAAAATATGTTAGACTTCTTTCCCTGGTTCATTGGTTCATCTGTAATTTAGTTTATTGTGGACCGAGCTTCCAAGTTGCAATTGCCTGATTTAAATGCTTCTGTTAATGCTTCTGGTTTTAGTCAATGCAGTCACAACTCCTGACTTCTGCTTTCCATTCTTTTCTCTGTTCTGTGGAGCAGGGGTGAGGAAACTTGTTCCTTACTAAAATCCAAGCAGACTTTTCAGACACCTTACTGTTAGCTAATAATAATATAGAAAAAAAGGTTACATTAGTGTGATCCACATTGAATGAAGTTGAGTTTACATCCAGCCCTTCTGCATTAGATTTCCCCACCCTTGCTTTAGCCAGTGTGTCTAGTCGGTAACACCGAGGTATCCAGGCTGACTTCACCTAAGAGTGTAAGTTAATGAGTTCAAGTGAGGGGTCAGAGGTAGAGTCATATTGCCTAATTAATCTAATAGGTTTATGTTATAAAGGATGGAAGGGTGGTTTTGTGAGGTAACCTGCATGTAGTTGGGTATATATGAGTGCTACTTTGTGCCTTAGTCTTTTGTTTGTTTGGGGGTTTTTGAGGGGGTGGATGTGAGCACTTACATTGTTGGAAGGTGTTTTTTTGAACTATGAAGAGTTACTAACAGTCCTTTTTTTCTAGGAGGAAGAATCTCACAATACACCAACAGCCAACACTCTTCTTGACACCAGCCATCTTGAAACAGACATCTGGTCTGCAATGCCAACGCTTTCCAATGGGAATTCTGAGCCCAGAAGACCCAAAATAACATTTGATGATGTGTAAGTATTATTGGATCTCTGTGCTAGCTGCATATTACGTAGTTAGGATTTTCATGCAAGCAGAGCTCCCAGTGAAAGAGAGTATCTTTGATTATAATGCTAGTATTGGACACCTGTGTGGATAGTGCTGCACAAAGGCACACACAGTTTTAATCTTTACAAATGAACTGTTGTCACTGATTAATGAAGACTCTTGATAAATGTTTTCAGATTGTGAATGTTGGTTCAGAGTAATTCTTCTTCATTTTTTTATTTTAGCTCCTCTAATGGAAACTTCTTATACTTAATTAGTTTAAAATATTTTTCCTTTTCCTCTGTTCAGCACACATTAATGGGTCCTTTGGGTGGCCAGTTTCTACAGCTAGTTATTTTACATTCTGGTCACCCATCATATCTTTGCATACAGCAGCTTCAGATTAATATCAGGTTAAGATTTAAAGAGATAAGCTGGCGTGTATGTCAAAATTGTTCTTGGAAGCAGTCAGCAATTTTCCCAAACAATGTTTATCCAACTGTATGAAAACAAAGACTTGAAATAATTGATTTTGTCTCTTTAGGCTTCACAATGCGGATTATTACATGCAAGAGGCTAAGAAGCTAAAGCATAAAGCAGATGCATTGGTAGGTTATTACAGGGGTTTTTTGTCTCTTTCCACTATGGAGCTGGGTGTTACAAAAATGTGCATTCTGAATGTCATCTAAAGCCTCAGACACCAAGAGGAACCCTGCCATTGACTAAAGTATGCTTCAGATTGTACTCCATAAACACACTGTCTACAAGAAGTCAAACCCTGAGCACCATTCCTGGTCTTCAACAATTTGTTCCCAAAGAAAGTAGCTCCTTACAATAGCTGGTATCTCTTCCAAGGAGGAGCAACAGTCATGCTTTTTATGAAGGTTGTAAGATAATTTCATGAAAGATGGTGTGTATTTGGTTTCCTGTTCACTTCAAGCCTAAAACAAAAGTATTGAAATATTCCATAACAGAAAGTTAAGAAAGGCAAATCACCCTCCACCCCATTTTCATGTGGTAAAACTGTGTGATATTTTAATCCAATTGTTTAAAATTTGCAACAATTGATTTTTAAATAGTACATTCATTTTTATTGCATGCTTTTGGGCTGGTAAATAAAGACTCAACATGCTTCTTCCCGAAAAATCTTGCAATGAGGTAGTTCAATGCTGGGAAAGCTTTTTCTCTCATTTTACCCCAGATGAAATTGCAGTATGATTGATATAATTTTGCAAAGTGTTTTGATTTTGATAAAACTATTTAATCTGACAGATTATACTCTATCATAGTTTGTTCAATCCAAGCTATTGCTGGCACTGAAGTGCCTTTAATAGCCATTTGCTTTGTAGTTAGGGACTTTGCTCCTGTACACTACATAGAGTGCAGAACAGCAGCTCGGTTAGGTAGGCTTAGTGGAACTTGACTCTTCTATTTATTTAAACTAAGATGTCTAAAATGGAGTGTGGCCATTCACTTTGCCCCTCAAAATCACAACTGAAAAAGAACTGGGTGATTATTCACCTCTTGCTTTATTATTTGTGGGTTTTTTGCATGCATATTATGTCATTCCATATCAGAGATTTTGTGCTTGGAAGTGAATGTTTGTCCAAAAAGAAACCCCAAAACAATCACACGCTGTGTTTTTAGAAAACAAACCAAACAAATAAATTTAAAAAATGGCTCTCCCTCTGCTGTCAGTGAGCTGAAGGAGAGTTCACATGTCAAGCTGCCTGCTTCAGCTCTCCGGGCTCCCTTTTGACTTGGAGCACAGTGTTACCAAGTGTGTTTTCTGTGGGAGGTGGGTTCATGTTTTTGGCAACCTGCCGTGATTGTCACTAAGTTAGCAGTCGTCTCTCCCGACCTGCCCGTTTACAGGAGGTGGCCTACACCGATTCCTGTAGCCTGGCTCAGCAGAGCATGTTCAGCCAGAGCCCTGACATCTGCACGTGGGGAAGGCTGGCAGAAGCAGACTGACAACACCTCCCACAGCTGATTGACCTTTAAAGAAAATACACATGGTTCTGGCACAGGGATGCCTGCTCCACGGTAGCAAATATTTACAGGCTCAGGCTCGTGATGATCTCAACATGCTATGTCAATCCACTTCCCTCCACAGCCTGATTCACTCAGAAAGTGTTGACCTGTCTCCTGTCCTCTTACCTTTGACTATGCCTTGCGGAATCAGGGCTGTTTCTCAAGCAGAACTAAGAGGAGCAGGCATGGCACATCATGCTGCTGCCTGCAGGCAGGCCTTGCCTGTCGCATGCAGTTTGACACCCCGAGTGCTCTTATGGGAATGCGAGGCCATCCGCAATGACACAACTTGTTGGCAGACATAAATACCTATGAACAAAGTATCTGCTTTTTCTTTCCGCTATTTAGGTCTCAACTTTTTTTTTCCACCCAATACAGCTGCACACAAATTATCTCCATGTAACACATTTGCTGTGCTATCCCGTAGTGTTAGTTGTCCTACGGAAACAATTGCTTCTGGTTACGTGGTGCTGACATGACAAAGCGCACACAGCATTGAAAGATGTGTTGCAGTGGCTAGAAAGATAATGCGCGTGACCTCAAAATGTGTCAGCAAATATTAATGCGATTTGTGGCAATGCTGTTCCTGAGCTTGTACGGAAAATAGATTTCTGGTGAAGGGCAGGGCATTTGGTGTCTTATGGGAGCGACCCCATGAAAACCTGTCCTTGTCTGGGACGGCAGTAAGGAATCAGCTCATTTGGGTGGGCTGCTGCAGTGGCAACTGACTGTACCATATGGAAGAGATCTTGGAGACCTTGCTGTGCTCTCGGCTGAGCTGTGATAAGCTGAAGTAATTCCACTTAGTCCACTAGACCAGCATGGAGCAAAGGGCAGGATCAGATCCCATTTCTGGCTCAAACTGTGTTTGTACTAAATCTGCTTGCAGCCAGATTCCTATTTTTTTATACCACAAACAGTCACCTTTGGAAGACCTGAAGCAAGGAATTTGAAGAATATGCTGAGAAGTGACTATTGGAATAGAGAGAAAACATTTAGAAATATTTCCCCTTTTGTGATCGTTCAAGTAATACCTATCAATTATACAAAGGCGTTGTACGTCATCAATGCACAAGAGCAGAATTTGAAATTAAAGGTATGCAGAGGGAACTAGTTATAAGGCCTGCTTAGAAGCAGCCACAAAGGCAAATATACTGTTACCTTGGACCAATACTAAATGTTCTGCTTAATATGTTGCTAGGATAGGCTTCCATTTTGTGAATGGAAAACATATGCAGATGCATCAAAAATATTTTGATAGAGACATACAAAGACATTTTTAAAATTATTTAAAGTATATTGAATCTCTTATATCAAATGGCACATTAGTAGAATTCTTACATCCAGCTATCAAAAATTGAAAATGTTAAATACTATTATAAAATACTTACTATAAAAATGTCATATATAATATTCATTACACATAAAAAAGAAATCAGTATGTCTAAGTCAGTTTAATCACAACCATTATGAGGGCTAAAACCTTTTGCAATAAAATCCTAGTAAAATAAAATATTTAGCAGTGCTATATTTTCTCCCTTTTTTTTCGTGCTCTTTCAGTCACCACATAAGTGATGAGATTTTTTTTTTGGTCAACAGTTACCACAGAATGTGACGTCTGACAAATGGCATGGAGTTGTTACTTAAACCCTTCCATAGTGACATTCAAACTTAGTTCATATATCAAGGAGCAATATGGATTTGTTCAAACATGCTTAGTGTTCCTCATTGCCTGTGTAAATCCATGCATGTCAATGGACATACACTGACTTTCCTGTGTGGAGCGCCTGGCTGTATACTACCTGAAAAGATTTGGCAAAAACATAGACCTGGCCTGAATTACTGTATGAATTCATTCTTATCTACCAGTGTCGCTTTACTTCCATCCTTATGCTACTGTTGCTTTGTATTATGATCTGTCTACCTAGAAATTAAAGCTGAAGGATTTTCTTGACGGTGTCATTCCCATTTCAGCTGGAGAAGTTCGGCAAAGCAGTGAATTATGCTGATGCTGCCCTCTCCTTCATCGAGTGCGGGAACGCTATGGAGCGAGATCCATTAGAAGCGAAATCTCCATACACCATGTACTCAGAGACTGTGGAACTCATCAGGTTAATGTCCTTTCTCTGATCATTTTCATAATCTCATTTCAGTCATAATTAGAACCTGCTATGTTTTAAAAAATACCATTTCAACGTATTAATGATTTGTCCAAGGCATCTTCATCTCAGAAGTCATCATAATTAGTTCTTGCCATTTTATTAATGTCATGGAAAATTTATAATTGATGGACACTGCTTTTATAAATTATCCCCTTTAGAGGTTATAATGTGAGTGTTATAATTTGCAATATTCATAAAATTAAAATTGAAATGTAGTGGGTGGAAGTAAAGTATAGTAATTTCACTGTTTGGCAATGACACTTGTCTTTTAAAAGGTGTAGTTTTATAATTCAAAACATTAAAGTGAGTCTATCAGGATTTCTATTACAAACCCTGTTTTTAGAGGTTTATAACTTGGCTGTTAAAAAAAAAAAAAAAAAAAAGCTGAAACTTGGCACATAAGCTCATAGCCAGAGAGGAAGCTTTCTGCATGCATTGTATTAAAAAAGTATATTTTTTAATGTTAAAGGAATGTGAACCAGCTGAATTAGTTTTAATCAGTTTTGTAGACTCGTAGGCTAGAATACAGATGAGAGTGCCTTTACTTACTAATAAAATGTCTGAATTATTATTTTAAAATCTGCTGCTGTTCCCTATAGCTGTTTCATAGTGTTGGCTCCATAGAAATAATGGTCTCCTGAGTAACTAAGGGCTTGTTTGCTTTACTTGCGCAAATTATCAAAGTGAAATCAAGCAGGATTAAATTTACCTGTAAGTAGAACAACAGGATTTTTCCTCTTTGCTGTGATGCACCTTTGCTTTCCCCAGTGTATGCTGGGAATATCACCGTTAATGTCAGTGTAATTACTGACAGTTTACACAAGAGAAAGGAAAGGCGGCAGATCAGGCCCTAAATGTTTGGGGTTTAATATAACAAAGGTACTTTTTTAACGTGCAGGATTTTAACATGCCAGACTAGCTATTAGGGAGTGCCAAAAATAATGCGTGTTTTACATGTTGAATAAGTAGATATTTACATAATAAAATGTATCAAATCTTAAGAAGCTGTTACTCTCAGGTAAATAATATGCCTGTTAAATATTTAAAAACATGTTTTTACATTCTACATTTCATAAAGAGAAGAAGAAAATCTAAAGAGATTACTGAACAAAAAAATATGATGTTCACTCAACGCTTACGATCCAAGTTAAACCCTTGAGAGCAGAGGACTTAAGGAGCTGCCTACCTCTGCTCGACTGTGCTGAAACTCTTCCTGTGCTCTGACAGTGGACAGTTCAGTACTTCATGTCCTCAACTACACAACTGTAGTTGTATGGCAGGATAAATTGTATTTCAAGAAATATTCTTTAAAGAAGTGAGTGCTTCTTCATAGGACCCTGCATTTCTTTTTATTTTTTAAGAAAACCACACGGCATAGTTGAAAATGTTGTTCCTCGATCCAGCAGTCTGTTCAGAAGTGAATGGACCAAAAATCTTGATCCATTCAAAAGCCACAACAGGCGCACCACTTAGAGAATGGCAGCTGTAGGAGTCGCCCACAGATGGGTGATACCTGCAGCTCCCCTCCACCCTGCGGTGCTGGACAGAGTCAGCTGAGCACATGGCTGCATCTTGGAGCAGCTGGCACGCATCAGCACACGCAGCCCCGCTGCCTTGCTCTTCCCAGCACCTCCTCTATGAGTATGGCCCTGCTGCAGGCTACATGATAGATAGACCTTGGCATGGAAGCAGCACCTGAACTGCTTTTGGATTGCTTTTCGAACTGCTTTTGGCTATGGAAGAATCTGGAGGACTTTGTCATAGTAGATCTCCAATTTCTAAATAGCCGAAGTCAGGTGAGATTAATTCCACCACCTACCATCAAAGGTAGAGCTTGACTTACCAACGCTTGCAGGCAGCATCTTGTAGGCAGCTGGTGAGAGACTGATTTGCCCATTGAATTGCTGTCAGTGGTCAGACGTGGAAAAAAGGTGATTGCCCACGTGAGCAGCAGGCGGTACAGGTTCAATAAACTCCATGGACAAATACACAATTCTTGTGGGCTACGGTGGGTGCTGAACGTACACAACAAGTACGTGGCTGCACGTACACACTTTCTCAATGTGGCTTCTAATGTTAACATAAAGTTTTACCGTGAGATAAGAAATGGAAGGAGATTTTTCTCACTTTTACACCTCCCTTCATCAGAGGCACCATTTTCCCCTCTTGCGTTAGCTGTGTCTGCCCTGAGAATCTGCATCAGACACCTATTTGTGAAAGCAAGCGGAGCGTCAAAGAGATTGGGAATATCTGATCTGACTGTCAAAGGTGGTTTAAGTTAATGGTAATGCTAAAATCCCTAATGTAACACTGAAAATCCCAAAGGGACGCATATCTTCGTGTTTGATCAGATTCATTCAGTATGACTGGAACAGCAATACCAAAGAGCAGGTGAGATAGGACATGGAGGAAGCACATCAGGTGGTGTGCCACAGCTGCAAGCTGGGGGCTGATGATGGGGGTGGTGGGAGGAAGGCAGAGCGAGAGCAGCACTGCCTGCCTGCACTCCATTACCTCCTTGTAAATGAGAACTCATCAAGACTGCCTGGATACCTTAAAACTTTCTTACGCAACGCTGAACCCTATTACTTATTCTAACACAAGTACCTGTGAAATTGCATTAGGGCTCAGAACAATGATTTTATGCGATGAATTGATTTTCAAGAGACTAAATGCATGGAATGGAGTGTGCTCAGTTAAAGAAAAAAAAAAAAAAAAGAGAGAGGAGGTAGGAATACTCAATCTTTGATCATCCAAATGCTGGACAGCAGCAATTAAATAGAGAGGGAAGACCAAGTACACAAGACTCATAAATTAATGGACCCAAGAATTTAAAAATCTGTGAACATGACCTTTCCTGTATTTAAAACCATTTTCTATATAAAATATATTAAAAGCTTTGAAGAAGCATTTATAAGAAGGATTTTGAAGGTATTATTCAAGCCCAAAGTATTATATGTAAAACCTGATTATATATTACTCTACTCTTCAGTACATACAGGGCCAAGGTCTTATGCTTCTGTCCAACACTCAACACAAATGTTTGCAGGGCTCAGCCCAGATGGCTGGATATATCATTAATATGCCCAAGAATAGTTCACCTTGTTGGCCCAGAAAATGCGTTGGTGATTTACTTTAGCCCTCCACATTTTAAGTGGTGCTTTCTGTTGAATTTTACATTGATCTCATCGTTACAGAACAATGTGACCATTAACTATTGCAGTCGGAGAAGAGTATCTGTGTGTGGCTGTTATTTTTCAGAATGTCACTAGTATTCCTGGAAGCATCTTAACTCTCAATGTCTTCTCTCCTCACCTTTCTGACAAGGTATGCAATGAGACTCAAGAATTTCACAGGCTCTTCTGCCACGGAAGGGGACAAGAAATTAGCAGTTTTATGGTAAGTCCCCTTGCAACAATAAGAGAAGCAGCTAAAATCTTAAGGAGGACTTTAAAAGTACTGAATTACTTAAGCAGCTTACAGAAGATCATTATTCTTGTTTTCCATTAAACTATTAAAGGATAACTAATGGATTTCTTCAGCAGCTGACTAAACATTTATTCTTCTAATTTATACTCTTATCAAGATGGGATTTTAATGCTTTTGACCACTTTTTTTTCTTTCTCCATTTGCTTATGTTTCAAAATCTAACCTTAGAACAGAAACTGCAAAATATAGGTCAGCATTTTTATTTTTACAGTTTGTAGGTTTCATTAAGCAATGGAATTAACATAATCCTTTCCTAATTACCACAGCTACCGATGCTTATCACTTCTCTACTTGAGAATGTTTAAACTAAAGAAGGACCATGCTATGAAGTACTCCAGATCTCTGATGGAATATTTTAAGGTAATTTTTATTCTGTTTAATTTATTGATATGAAATGAAATTCATACCAGCGCTGAGAGCTCTCACAAGTATGACTGCATGACTTAAAAGTCCCACATTTAACCTCTCCCCTGGGAAATGCAGGCAGGATGGCTGCCAGGGAGTGGGGACAGGAGTGATTGGGGGGATTTTTGGATTAGTCACTTGATTCAAAGGACCATACTCAGTAATTCTACTAAAATAACATTATTCTCAACACCATGTAATGTTTATGCAAGTTTCTGTAAAGGAAACTCATTTTTTCAAGATTTCAATGTGCAAGTGATTATGAGCTGACCCCCAATGAACCATAATAAAGCAATTATTTAGGCTTTAGTTAGTTAAATTTAGATTTTAAATTCAGTGAGATTTGCTGAAGCTTATTGCAGACTCAGAGATTTCTCCTTTTATTTCTGTGGCACTTCAAATTACCTTATCTACATCTTGAAAGTTTACCTTTACCTTGAATCGAGTGGAGATCAGCTGATTGTCATGATTCAGTGTTTTCACTTACCTTGTCAAATGCTGTTTGCCCAGTGTAAGAATGACAAGTCCTCACTATTCCTAAATTAAGAGAGAAACAGAATCTTTCTTCAGCTCTGCCAAGGTTTTTATATTTATATTTTACTGGTTAATGCTGTTTGAAGCATACATTAATTCTTGTACTTTATTACTACATATTATTCAGTAATTACGTAATTATTCTGGTTTGTCAGCCCATCAGTCTTTTTTTGTTGGTTTTTTTCAGCCTTTATGAATTTGTTCCAGGCTTTGACATATTAGTACTGCAAACCAGTAAACCTTTTAACACTGCAGTTTTAATATTTTCATGTAAATGGTGATAAAATGGTCCTTCTGCTGTAAAACTCCAGTACTATCATGCTAGCAACCACCACTTAGTCCTGGTTGTCCTCTGTGTGTGTGTGTGTGTGTGTGTGTGTGTAGCTCTGTAACTTCAGGAATGTTCCTCCTGATCTTCTGTTTAAATTGAGGCTCTCTTGAAGTCATTAGGAGTGCCGCTGTTGCACTCAGTTTTCAGCCAGGGATTTGCACAACAAATTAAATTTGAACTAGACACATTTACAGCCTCAGCATTTTCATGAAATGTATTCCATCCACTCTAGATTTTATCCAGGACGAATGTAGATTGTCGCTTAAAAAAAGGCTATTAGGCAAATCATTTGATAAACTTTTTCTGCCGAAAGTAATGATTTCTACAAAAAAAAAAAAAGAAGGGGGCGCGAGGAATTTTATCTTCCCTTAAAGCCACCTTACTTTCTTTAGCTCTGCAAATAGGTACAATGAAGAACATATTACCACTCCCAGCACAAGACCATTTTACTGCATCTGCCATGAGAAAATGTCTTTTAATGTAAATGAGAATAAGAGAAAAAAATTTAAAACGTAATAAAATAGACAAATCAGGAATGCTGGGTTCAGGCATCCAGTTGAAGCTCAGTATTTCAGCTAATGTTACTGTGTGTGTGCTATGGGCACTAACTCATTGCTCGAAGTAGTGTTTGAGTGTATACAGATTATATGTTCAGGGCTTTTTTTGTAGGAAAGGCATAGGAGGAGAAAAGAAAAGAATGGTAGCTATTAATTACGTATTAGTTTTGTATTGCTGCTTAATGTTCTCTGTTCACTAGTGAGAATCTGTAATACAAATGAAATAGATTAACTATTTGAATAGAGTGGTTGTTCAAAATTTTGCACAATTTTAACTGTGAAAAGCAGCCCAACACAGCAGAGCTGGAGAGGAATTTTTTGGCAGAATTGTTTTTCATATTTTTCCTCACAAATGCCACTTTGCCCAAATTGAAACCACTTGTGGACAGAACTGGTTCTGATTAATTTCCAATTGAAAGTTTAAAATTTATATTTTTGACATCTCAAAACAGAAAATAACCATTTAATCATAAAAGTAGTTTTGAAACTTAGAGACAACTTGGAGTAAAATATAATTAAAACAATAAATTTTGTAAATGGAAATCAAACTTTTTAAGATTAGTGCAAGTGGCACCCTTTGATGCATTTCACCTAAAAGTTTGAGGAAGATTTTTATGGTTTTTAAAATGTCTTCTCAATAGTCATTGGCAAAAATATTTCAAATACTTTCTTTGTCAAATAACTACCTCCAATCAAGATCTAGCCTTAACCTTGACAGATTTAGTATTTGTCTCCAGATAATGTCGGGAACAATCCCCATACAGCAGAAACTAACATCAAAACTACTTCTTCATCCCTGAAGACTTTCCAGGGGAGTTTAGGATCTCCCTCCTTCTTATGTATGAGTGGGTGGCAAAAATACACACTACATACGCTCTGTACTGCAGACCACTCCATTTCATGCTCACATCTTTAACGACACACAGTGGCATGCTCTATAGGAACATACAGGCAAGGCCAGTGTCATTTTGGGCAGTTTTCTGCTTTGGTCAATACTGTGTGGCAAGTTTAGCTGTGTTTTAGAAGTCAAGGGTAGGATTTTGCTCCCAGAGTCAGCTGCATGAGCTGGGGCCATGCCCTGGGCTGCTCTGTGCTCCACTGAATCTCTGTGCCTCACATGCAAAATAATGATTACAGTAACCAGATGAATCTTGTAATAATGATGGTAATACTTTGCAGAGAACTTGTAAAATTTGATTGAATTTTCACTGTGCATGCTGAATTCTTTGCAAGGGAGTGCAGAGTGATTGTTTTCAGAAAGCACACATAGATAGCTTCAGCCCTGATACTACCACTTTTTATGGGAACTAAGTAAGATACCACCCAGTCTGAGCAAGACTGGAAAAATCTGGGCTTTATTGTTCCTGGGCAGTCTTTTTGTACAGGATTGTACAAGGTGCTACGATAATGGGAAAGGCAGAATGAGTAAGCAGGTAAGGAAAGTCAATTTGTGCAAATAAAATACATAAAAACAAGGGCATTCAAGCAGATCCTTGCTAAAAGTTTTATTTCTACTACTATCTGAATCCCAAGCCACCTTCCCTGGCAACTTGGGAGGGATTAATTTCATTAAGGTATCAACCCCAATTCTTTTTGTTTCTTATTAAAAGAATGCAGGTCCCCCTAAAGATAAGTCATTTGCACTCTGAAGAACTTAGTTTGTAGAATAAGTTTCAGTGGTAATTAAACCACTTCTTTGTGAACTACGTCTGCTTTCACTGGAACTTTACTGTATTCCCTCTTTCATCAAGTGACTTTCAAGCTGCTGATTGGAACCTACCAATCATCCACCAACCATTTAATTATGGGACTGATGAGCAGAACTGTTCTGCTACAGGCACTGTAGCTCTTGCGACGAAAACTGGGAGTGTTGAGCCGTGTGTCATCAGTATTCATATACTTGCATCACCTTTATTTACATTTTGGTTTTGTGCTTACAGAACTCTTCGAAAGCCTCACAGGCCCCCTCACCTTGGGGCGGCAATGGAAAGTGAGTATTTTCTGCTGAGTACTTCTGTCTGGGAACAAGTGGTTCCAAGAGGGGGGGAAATGTTTTGGTGCCTCTAAAGGCAAAGGACAGGCCATGACTCAGTGGTTTGGGAGCTACAGGTATGTTTCAAATATGTAGCAGGTAGAAAATGTTCTTCTGGGCTACAGAATTATCTTACAGCTGCCTTGGGCTTTTGGGGGTGAGGGGCTCCCACTGGGCTAAATCAGGAACCTATGTGAGCCATCCAGTGTGGGTGGGAAGGAAGAGCTGAAACGCACCTTCATCTTTGTTCAAAGCCAAAGTCTAAAATCAGCCGTGGTGGGTCTGTGCTGAATTTTTTGACAGTTTGCTTCTCAAGCCAAATGAAGGCCATAAAAATATCTGTTAATTAGCTAGCAAGTACCATGTCATTTCAGGAAGCCAAAGTAAAGTTAACCTTCATTGCAATGATTTTTCAATGATTCGTTCAGTAATGAAAGACCAATGAATATTTCATTGATATATGGTAAGTGCTGTTTAATAAAACTGAAGGCATAATAGTGGTGAAAATGTGAAGGCACTTAGTCAACCAATTATCAGTAGCTTTATACTAACATTAAAACACCCTCACCTCAGATATGAAGTCAGGGTAATGCAATTATGATCTGCTGTTCAATGAAGGTGCATTGCTGCTGCAACCTTGCCTTTATCTTGCAATGTCTGTTGCCACCTGACACACATTTCTCCTGCTCCTTTCTCCTGGCCACACATACAGATACAGGTAAAACAAAGGAGAAGGACTTTACCTTTCTTTCCTTCTTTATTTGAGTAGGCTGAATTCTAGGTGAAAATGATTGGTGGTCTCTTTCTGGTGGCTCATAAGAAGAAATTACTATTAGACACTCCAAGGAAACAATAAAACTGTAGAAGGGGTTGAAATTTAGCACACAAAGAACTGAAGTTTTCAAACAGACTTTGTTCTGAATCAGTGCGAAACCAAAAATTCCAACATTTTGCTTAAAGGACAATATTGTCTTAGATAATTCAAAATATTTTGGGGTATATATACACACACACCCCCCAAATACACAAAATTATTTTCAATATCTGTGTGTATATAGATATTTAAGTATAGATTATAACAGAAACTAAATGATCAAATACAGAATCACTTTAAATAAAAACTGAAAAGGTATTTTAACATTGGAAAAGCAACTACAAAATTAAGTTATTCAATATGTGCCAGTCTTTCAAGGCATTTAAATGTCAGTGAAACCTTGTATTGCAATAAAAATACAGTAAGGTTTACATAAAGTTTTAGTGCCAAAATAGACCACTGGAGCATTACACCTCTTTTATTCCTTAACAAGTGGCTTATACCTAAAAATTCCATGGAGCAGAAGTTATCCTTTTATTCCTGTCCTGTAATAGATGCCTATAGAGTGTGTCCTCTGCAGGTGATGACATCTTCCTTGCTATTTAAAGGAGCTGATTAGGTGCCCAGGATTTAGAATCAGTGGGTTTTGACTGGGGGAGAAAATTCTTGTCCAGCCACAAGGTAGGCAGCAGAAACCCAGCATCCAGGTCAGCATCACTTCTAACATAACACCCAGCTGACCAGTCTCTTCCCACTCTCTTTGGAGATAAGGAAGTAAAGCTCTGAAAGTGCACATCTCTGTCTTTTATTCAGAGGAGGAAGCACTTGACATGTAAGAATAATTGAATATGACAAGGCTTGTTATAACGGTGTTATTATGACACCTGTGACCCAACACACCAAGACCACAGTCCACACTCGGGTCTTCTGTCCCCTCTGCCTGGAGTCTCAGAAGAAAAGCTCTCCAGCTGGCTCAGAGGTGCCATGTGTCTCAGGTGTCTCCTGGTGGCCCCAAGCACCATGGGCCTGGTGCTGCCACTGGCAGCATGTGCTCTGCCTTCCCCAGGGCTACTCGCTCTGCAGTTTCCTCTTACTCCCCTGCAAATTTGGACCAGAGGGGAAGAGAAGTCACACACCACAGAGGAGAGACCAAACACCATCAGGGTATGGCACCACTGGAGACAGATCAGAAGCCTGTTTCAGAATGGAGAGTCAGCAGGGTATTCTTAACTCTTTTTCTGAACAAAGCAAAACTTATCCATTGCCATGAAGTAGTCTGCTTGGGATCTCAAACCATCAAAAATCTCAGCTTGGCTTACTGGAATTTCTGGCCACTTTTGTTTGAAAGGGTTGTGAACCTCTACAAAGTTGGCCTGAGTTCCAGGCTGGCAATGAAACAAATTTTCCCTGGTTTCATTACAGAAATGTTTCCCACCTCTAGCGACAGAAAGCACCAAATAGAGAGATTTAATAGACTCACCACAGTAATAATGGCTGCGCACAACAGGGTAAATCCAATGAACAATGTGCTTTATTTGGCAGAAGTGCGTCAGCTTGTTGTAAGTGGCTCTAACAAAATACTCCTGGTCTCCTCAGATACTTATGATTTTTAACTGCTCCCAGACCTAATCTAGTATAGTTCAGCTCTTCTGTGCATTAAAGACACTGTGGTGTGTCAAGTAACCAGGATGTTTTGAGACTTGAAAATAAAACGTTTGTGCCGTAGGATATGCTTAAACTATAGCACATAAGCTGTGTAAAAAGCTACTAGCTGCTGAATTAACGTGGTCTCTAGCTCTGGAAGAAGAATGTATCACAGGAGCCTGTTGTTGAACACAAGTAATAGCAGGGCACTGCTGGAAAATCTGCAGCAAAAGCTGTTGCTGTAAAAGCCTTTCAGCCCAAGGCTGTGCCATGGTGGCAGCCTGTTCTACAGCACCTGCAAGGTATCAGCACAGCAGGTCTGTGCCCACGCTTCACGGTCAGGACCATTGACGGTGGCATGTAAAGCCAAGAGGAGGAGCCTTTCTATCCTGGGGTTTGAATCGGGCCCACAATGAGTCTGAGTGAGCTTGATGCTGTTGCACAGCATGAGGCATCAGTGGCCGCCTGTCAAGAGAGGGGTTGCAACATACCCATCCGGAGAGTTTTGGTGTCTTTGCTTCACGCAGAGAGCGCCGGGAGCGTCTCGGCCCTGCGTTTCAAGTGTATTCCACAGCAAATCGAATGCATTTGTTTAGGTAAGTGGTTCCAAATGGGAACAAGAGAAGAGATTTTTGGAACCCTTAATCTTGTTCACTGAAACAAATTTTCAAAGAGAATAGCTGTATGTGAGCGTTCAGCGCTGCACAGCTCTAAACATGAGCTTGCTGTGCTGACCTGCACACTGCCTGCAGCCAGCAGGTGATTCCTAATTGCTGGTCTTAGAATTAAAGGAAAATCTATATTAGAACATTAGTGCTGCACTAAGTAGGTAACTTAAAACACTGCTCTGTACAAAACTGTGCGGATGAACTGTCGGCAATTAGAAACAAATCTCCATAGCCAGTCTTAAAGAATCCTATAGAGATATTCATAATCCTACAGTACCCTCAGCTCCTAATACTGCTCTGCAGGGTGCTTTTAAGACTTGCACTTTACTTATTGTGGTGACTGTATTTGGAGCAAACTGTCATTGTGATTTCCACAAAATGCTTTGATAATAAGCCAATATTGCACATTGAGTGTTTTCTAACTGCCATTGCAGCTTCTGGCAGCAGGTAGAAAAATCATTACAGCTATGAGATACTTCTTTCTCTGAAAGATTGCTCTATTTTTATGATAGATTTTTTTTTTTTTTAATAACAGGTTCATTTGTAGGGAGAATTAAATCCCTTTTTATTTTCAGTCATTCCCAGTTTATAAGCTCTCCTTTCTTGTAAAACCAGGAGCTACTACTGCACATTCTCCCCTGACTGGGGTGCAGAGTTAATTTTTCAAGTGCATTTAAGATGGCAATGAAGTGGTGTGTGTGAGGGGGACTCACTCTCCCTTTACCTCTCGCAGGAGCACAGAAACGCCATCGCCCATGTCCCTGAGCCCGTCCCCTGTCAGCTCTGCTGGAAGCGGCGCGGGCACCACCGGCTCCTCCTTGGCGGGGACCATCACCATCCCTCAGCGCATCCACCACATGGCTGCCAGCCACGTCAACATCACCAACAACGTCCTGCGGAGCTACGAGCACTGGGACATGGCTGACAAGCTGACTAAGGAGAACAAAGGTGCCCCGCTTGGCTTCTTCCTTGCCCCCTTTGGCTCATCAGCTTTAGCTTTCTTTCTGTTCTTCTAGGCGTTGTTGGGAATTGGATCCAGAACCACCGCATCTAAGAGCACAACTGTGACAGCTTGAGCAAACAGACCAAATCTGCTTGCTGGTCACTGTAGCCAATGCGTATCTTCTCTTGTCAAGCACAGAGGGGGGATGTGTAACACACGCTGAACATGGGGTTATCAGAGCAGCTGGCAAATAATTTAGCGAACATGAGCCCCAAGTGATGAGAGCTTTTGAGTCTTGCAAATTTGTTCACAGTTTCAGCTTCTCATAGAGCACCGAGGTTATTTTCATACTGCTCTGTCAACCGGTTTAAGACTATTAAAATGCTAGCTAGGATAATAAGCAAACATTAGATTTTATGTTTATGCAGGGAGTCCGATTAGGAGATGTCCACTGAAAGCCATGACCTTGACTCTCCTATGGTTGGATTGCAAATCTGCTTGTTTATTCCTAACAACAAAATGTAAGTCTTTACCACAGTCGTTTCAAAGGAGTTTTGGCAAGCAGTTTGTGACTGGGTTATATCGAGTATAGTGGAGTGGCTGAGATGTAACTAAAGGACAAATTTGGCCTATTGTTGGCCAGCTGTGAATTTCCCCATGATAATGTAATTATTCAGATTCCAGCTTTGGGGTTGCACAAATCATTGACAAAGCTTTCTTTGACACTAGAGGTGCAGAGCCTAACTGGGAAATATTCTCGTCATGAATTGGCTCATTCTCTTAAATTATACTGAGATTTCAGATGGCTGACTTTTCCTGACAAATGTGCTCGCTGTATGCAGTTTGATCTTACTCCCATTAATGTCAGTGGCAAATTTCCACTGATTTAGAGAAACTAAGCTTGAGATTTATAGAGTTTTATGTCTGAATGGTGGGTCATAATGATCTATCCCTGGATGAGGAACAATAATAGAAGTTCTGTCCAGTCCTCCCCACTGCTTCTTGTCTTTGTTCGCATTGGTTAATTTAGTAGCAGTGCAGTCATTTTGGATTTTTTCCATAGCTGCATCCATTTTCACAAAATGTGAAAGTGATTCCCTGTCAAATGTACTGCAGAATGTTACAGTGGGAATGCAGAAGGATGCTCTGATAGGAGAAAGAGATGACGATAATCTTGTAATTAGCCCTGTGTGTTGTGGAGTTGTTAAATGTTCTACTTGGTATTGAATCAAAATAGCTCAGGCATTCAGCCAGCAGACAGAAAATGTACCCAGCCACTGCTGTTATCAGTCCTAGAGCTGGATGAGAAAAAACCTGCTGACTCTCTTTCTGCATTTTCCCCCCTACACTCTTCTTTGTTCTCTTTTTGATTTATGATCAAATAAGCCCAATTCTGCAAAGCCATATAGGAATAATCTTTATTCAGATGAGCAGTCTCTTTGACTTTAGTGGGACTGGATGCATGAATAAGGGTTTCTCACATGAGCAAGACATCTAGGGTTGTGCCCTGTTCTTTCATATCTTGTTTCACAAACTGCAGCCGTGTTACAGGGAATGGAAAGTTCATGTTACTTCAAATTTCATTTAAGTATAATAAACCATTGGAGAGAGATCAGTTTCATACATGCTATAGCATGTCTGTCTTTACATTTTGTCTGGAAAGATACCTCATTTCTAATTAAATACTCGATTTAAAGTTGCATGCTTAGACACAATTAAACTGCAATTTGAAAAATTTATGGTGTAACAAAAAAGTATATAAGAACGGCTGTGGTACTCTGCAGGTCTTCATCATATCACATGATGGATTCCATTTACAGAAGGATATATTTAAGACACTTTGACGCGAAAAATGTTACAGTGTTTCATGAAACCTAGCTGTAATTATTTCAGTAGATGTCATCTGCACCTCTCAAATAATTTAAAACACCTATATCTTGCTGGCTGGGACAGGACTCATCCTTTTCCCCATAGCTATCTCTAATCCACCCTTGCCAGCTGGACCAACCTTTGCAGTGCCCAAGCTCTGGTACAGTGGTCTGGGGACTGTGAGTTCAAAAATGCCCCGTGATGGCAAAGAGGATAGGTGCAAACTCCAGACTCTGCCTTGAGTCCCAGGTAAAGGACAGATCTCTTGGCTTCTCTCTCAGGGGTTTGAGCAGTCAGTTCACCATAAAAAATGAGATTTCCCCCCTCCCACCTCCAAAATAAGAATGGTCTCAAAAACAAACAAACACAAACTCACAAAGAAACCCACATTTAAGATAAAAATTAATTTTCTTTTAAAAAAAGACAGATCCAGTCAGTTTGGGGTTTTTGGTTTGGGGTTTGGGGTTGGGTTTTTTTTTTGTGTGGTCAACTCTCATTGTTTCTGTTGTCTTCTGAATCACAGGGGATGTCTTGCCCAAGAACATGTCCCTGATGAGCTAATAGAGATCAGTATAAAAATGTGGCCCCGTCATTGTAATGTCTGATGGCCTTTACATCTGGGTCTTACTGCTGTCATGGATGTTTCTTAAGTTGTGCCCATGCAGACACAAGAGATTTCTTCCACATTGTAGGAGCTGTGCAGCCTCCCCTTGTCCATGGCTGTCAGCTTAGGTTTTGTGCTCCTCTAAGTATGCGTGCACGTTCCCAGTTTGGACTTGACTCATGTCCAGCTGGCTCAGAGCAGGAGACAGAAGCCTTTCTTGTCAGCCTGACAAAAGATGTGCCATTAAAATAAAAAAGCATAGCAAGAGGGGGAACAGCAGAACTGTGACCTGCCAAGCTGATCTGGTTTGAAAAGGAAAGCGGGAACATACTGCCGTGTACCTTCGGTTGAATTTCCCCTGGTCAGTAATGTTTAGAGTGTGTGGGAGAAGAGATGGAGTTTGTCATAAACTCTGCATCGCAGGCCAGGCTAAACTGTAGGCTTCCCAAGGCCAACCCATGGGCTGGTTTGTGTTGATCACCTGGAGAGTTCTTCATCATTTATAACATCAAGTTCACAGCTGACTTTACAAAATCAGATAATTTTTTAGGCTTCCAAAGATAGCAGCACTTTTTCTGTACACTAGAAAACTATCAGCTCCGTAGTGACAAAGGCCTGCTCTTTCACGTATAAATTTAACAAGTGGCTTCAGTGCCTGTAGCTTTTTCAAGACATGTTAAACTGAAATTAGGCTTTAAGGTGAATTCTCAGTGTTTAAAGCAATTATTATTTATTTGAGCCTAGAATGAGATCTCTAGAATACAAGCAAGGCAGTGCATTATTTCACTTCTAAATGTATTGATTTTACACTGGAGAAGGGGAATAAAAGACAGAGGAAGGAAGATTAAAAGTAACCGCTGGCTGCAGCATCTTAACGCAACTGGCGATAGCCCTAAGCTTTCATTATGCTTGCCTCCAGCCAAATCACTTTGTGCTGTGATACTGCTGCAGCTCCCAAGCTGACCAGGGTCAGGCTGTCAATACTTGGATAGAAGACCTCAAAGCAGCACTTACTTGCTGAAGAAAGTACTGATAATGATTTTGTACCCGGCATCTGCTCTCCCGAACTGCAGCCAATACAGTGTTAGCTGGCTGAGTGCCGCGCACTGGATTTTAGATAGGGTGAGAATGTAAGGGCTCAGCCACCAGTTATTGCGATTGTTGGTTCTTATCTGAGCTCTGAGGAGCTTTTAACTGAGAGCGGGCTCCCACTCGCCTAAATATAGTGTAAGTGTTGTGTATGTGGGAATGCCTGCGCCAAAAGCAAAACTGTGGGAGCAAAAAGACAAGCTGTGGGAGAATAGAGGACACAATCCAGTTCTCCATTAAAAGCAATTAGGAAAGGTCTGTTGGCCCTGACAGGATTAGTCTTTCACCCAGAGAGCATCTGAGACATGGCATAAAGTAAACTGGTGTGTTGCTTCCTAACTATGGGGCTCTGTTTAGTGACTTCCTGTTAACCCTTCCCAACACCGGACCCCAGTGGCCTTACCCATCTTTTCTTTCCCCTTATAGGTTCCCGTCTCCTAGACGCTATTTTCCTGCTGTGTTCCCTCTCTCCTCTTCCTTCGCCCCTCCCACCCCACACACATCCTCTGGAGCCTGAAGTGCAGCAGGATGAGCAGAGGGCCAAAAAAATTGCTGCAATGGCAGTAACAGAAATTGGACGGTGGGAAAAAGAGCAAGCAAGGTCTTCTGCAAGATCCAGGCTAGCTCTTCATGCCCAGGAGAGGGTACAGCATGGAAAAGGCAATGCCACAGTTCATTGCAGCTATTTAAATCATACAGTCAGCAAACCTAGGCTCCAAAAAAATGAAAGTGCAGATCATCAGAGCTAAAGGAAGACCACTCATACCATGTTGTGGTTGACTTCCAGCATGGATAATCTAATTTGGTCTGTTTAAATATATCGTTGCTT